CCCTTTCCTGCATTGGAATCGGATCCAAACTCCACTTGCCAGAGGTCCCCGAGTTCCCACGTTTTGATTTCCTGCTTGGCAGCTGTCCATAAAAAAAAAAAAAGGCCCGCCCACTTGCTTTTCAGGGCTGCGAAAACGATTGGCGATACACGGTGTCCTGCTTCCGAATAAAAGCGAACAAAGTTCTGAGAACTTCTTCCGGGTGTAATCCCTGTCGTTCGACTTTCTTTCGTTCTTACACACTCACCTGCTTGGCAAAAACTACAGGTAGTTCTGCACTTACAACGGTTCATTTAGGGCAGGGCTGGGCTGCCGGGGGTTCACAGAGGTTCGGGAGAGCCCCTAGCTAAGATTCGGCACAATTCAGAGGAAACACCCCCCCTTCAAATCCCATTCCTGGCTGGCCCCACCCTCCCTGCCCCTCCCCTCCCCTCCCCGGAGTCCCCACATGACCGGTTTTGGATTCAGGGAAGTGCAGGCGGTGCACGGAAGCTCAGGGAAGTGAAAAATGGGCCTGTAAGTTCAAGAAGGCCGGAAATGGCCCCATTTCTGGCTTCCGGAGAGCCTCCGGAGCCCGGGGAGGCTGTTTATGCCCTCATGGAGGCTCGAGGAAAACTTCCGGAGTCTGGGGAGGGCAAAAACGCCCCCCCACCACCCACAGTGGTGCAGGAGGCTGACTAGGCCACGCCCACCATGGCCACGGCCACCCAGCAACCAGGCAAACAAACCCTTGGTGTTGTGTCCCCGCCTAACCACAGTCCCCAGTCTGGGCTGCCATGTCCCTAGCTAGGGGGAAGGGGTGTTGTGTCCCTGACAGTTTCTGTTATGTCTTTGGAACTGGTTGGAGTCCCCAACCAGGTCTGCTGTTTGAGCGGGAGCACCAGCCGCTCCCATTGGTTGGCTCCGTTTGACAGTCGGCTATAAAAGCCGGCTGTCGAGCAGAGCCAAGAGAGAGGAGTCGCCCTCTGGGCTGCCAGCCCAGCCAGGGCAGCCGCAGCAACCTGTTATGATCCAATAACTAGAAGTTAGCCTTCAGCTCCGTGTCTGCCTCCTGTGTCCTTCCGACTACTTAACACTTGGTAACATTTTAGAAGCCCAGCCCGGATTTAGGGTGACAGGATAGCAGCCTTCCAAGATTTGAGGGGCTGTTACAAAGAAACCGTGTGTGTGTGTGTGTGTGAGGGGTCAACCTATTCTCCAAAGCACCTGAAGGCAGGACAGAAAAGGTAATGAATGGAAACTAATCAAGGAGAGAAGCAACCTAGAACTAAGGAGGAATTTCCTGACAGTGGAGAACATTGAACCGGTGGAATGACTTGTCTCCAGAAGTTCTAGGTGCTCCGTCACTGGAGGTTTTTAAGAAGAGATTGGACAGCCACTGGTCTGAATGGGCATTGCAGTTCCCTGCTTCAGCAGGGGGTTGGATGAGAACAGTGGCCACTGACCAGTGGGCCGGAGACCACTGGTGGTCTGCGAGAAAATTTTGTGGTCCGCAGAGAAATGTCGCTCCCAAAGCAATTAATCCAGGCTGCGCGGGAACACAAGGCTACGCTGCCCATGTGGCCCATGGGAACACAAGGCTTGTGTCACTTGCATAGCAAACAACATGAGGTAGTGAGGGGAGGAGGGGAAGGGCAGAGGGGGGGAACTTGCCCCACGCACCCCACGTGCCTCGCCTGGCCACCAGGCTGCTTCTTTCTGCTTCTTTCTTCTGCTTTTGGCTGCACGCAAAGAAAGCAGCCAAAGTCTTTCTTTCTCTCCCCCAAACTCCGCCAGAAATGTGTCTTGGGGACCCTGCAAGGCCTCCTGCTCCAAGAGGCTGCAAAGACTCATTTCTGGCAGAGTTTGGGGGGAGAGAAAGAAAGACTTCTGCGGCTTCTGCTGCTTTCCTTGCATGAAGCCCAAAGTCTCTCTCTCTCTCTCTCCCCCTGAGAATGGAGCTGGAGACGGTATCCTGCAATCCTAAATAAAGAATGATTGATCGTAGGAAAACGGGGTGGGGAATTTTCCTGCAGACTTTTTGGGGGATTTTCCCAGGGTGTCTGGTCTGCAGGATTTAAAATTATGAGTTTGGTGGTCCCTGAGGTCCAAAAGGTTGGCGACCCCTGGACTACAAGACCTCCAAGGTGCCTTCCAATTCTGTTATTCTGTTATATACTGATGGCATTCCCATGTCAGTGCCACTAGGTGAATATTTATTCAGACCTATTGGAGTCTCTTGCAAAAACCCCCTTGGCAAATGAAGTTGTTGGAGCACCAGAACTCTCCTGACCCTCATCCCTGGTTGGTCTAAATTTTGATCATTTCTTCTGGTAGTGCTATAACTAGTAGCTGTCTCCTTCCATAGATCTCACTGGTCTAACTGCAGTGACTTTGCTAGCATGAAATTCTCCAGTGCTTCTCCACCCTTCCACCCATCGACAGAAGCATGGAGTTTCTGCAGGAGCCGGACCGCAAGATCCTAGATACAGATTACAGATTAACAGAGTTGGAAGGGACCTTGGAGGTCATCTAGTCCAACCCGCCACCCAAGAAGGAGACCCTTCACCATTTCTGACAGATGGCAGTCCAGTCTCTTCTTGAAAGCCTCCGGTGTTGAAGCTCCCACAACGTCTGAAGGCAACTTCTGTTCCATGTGCGGATTGTTCTGACTGTCAGAAAGTTTCTCCTTATTTCTAGGTTGAATCTCTCCTTATTCAGTTTCCATCCATTATTCAGCTCCTTGCTTAAGTCCAGGGGCATCGAACTGGATTTCCTTGATGGCCTGATCAGCGTTGTAGTTCTCCTCTGAGGGCAAGGAAGGAGGACAGCAGGGTGCGGGATGGATGCCTCATGCAGCGCCCTGCCGGCCAAAATGGGGCATGCCCCCCCTGCACCTTGTTTTCACCCTCCATGGTGTCCTGCCGCACTCCGCCAGCGATTTTGGGGCCCATCTTGGGCCCATTTTCAGCTGAAAAATGAAGTGCAAAGCCCCCCCCCCCCCACACAGATAGACACATACAGCCCGTTTATGCCACCAGAGGCACCGCAGGCCGGTCCTTTGATACTTCCAGGCCGGCCCCGTGGGCTGGATTTAAGCCTTGAGTTTGACACCCCCGCTTAAGTCCCAACCAACCTTGGCAAAGGCCATGGGTGTGTTGGATGGCGCGGGAGACACCACCCTTTCGCTTCCCACCTCTTCCACTCTTCAAAGCTCCCAGAAGCCGGAGTGGCATTCTACCGGTTCGGACCGGTTCAATAGAACCGGTTGTTATGATGCTGCGCAGTTCGGAGAACTGGCCAATCGTGCCTCTGGCTGGCCCCGCCCCTCTCTGCCCGCTCCTCCCCTCCCAGTCAGTCCTTACTGTGCATGCGCAACGTCGCGCGCATGCCTGACAACTCCGACTGCGTTCTCCCCTGCCCAGTCACTCCTTAAGGTGTCTCTTTTTTTCCCCCCACTCCTGACAATCAGCTGTTCCTATGATCCAGCTGTGCCAGGGTCCCCCTCGCTGTCTTACTGCTTTGCCCAGGAGGCATCCCCGAGGCCCAGAAAG